AAACTGTCCCATTATATTGTTTTAAAAAGGTCAGTAAGATTGGATTTATACGATCATATCAATTCACACTATGTTTAGTTTACAGCATAGAAAGAGGCCATTCAGCCAACACTTCGGTGTCAGTCAACAAAGAGCTCACTACATTAAAACCATTTTCCAGTTGTTGGACCCTGGAGGCTATAGCAATACATGTGAGTATCTAAATGCTGCTTAAATGTTTTGAAAGTTCTGACTTAACTGCTCTTTCAGGCAGAGATCCAGACTTCCTCTACCCTCTAAATCTATGGCATCTGATGACTGACCCCTCTACTAATGGGAACAAGAGCCTCCTATTCACCCTAACTATGTACTTATAAACTTAAACAGCTCTATCAGGTCCCCTCTCAACCTTCACTGCTCCAAGGAAAGCAACCCCAATCTATCCAATCTTCCCTCATAGTTCATATCCTCCAGCTGAAATGGTATTCTAACTCATCTCTTCTACACCTTCTGTGTACAACCACATCCGTCTTGCATGTGGTGACCAGAATTGCATGCAGTACGCCAATTTTGACCTAAACAGCATTTTGTTCAGTTCCAGCATAACCACATTGCTCTCATGTTCTATGTCTTGGCTAATAAAGGTAAGTATCTATGCACTTTCTTAACCATCTTATCTATCTGCCCTGCCACCTTGAAGCAGCTGTGGATATGCACACCAACTTCAGAACTTTCTAGGGTACTACCATTCATGGCGTAATCCCTTGCCTCAGTAGCCTTCCACAAGTTTCCCAGAAGACTCTCCCAGGTTAAATTCCATTTGCCACTGCTTTGTCCATCTGTGTTTCTTATCCTGCTTCTCATCCTCCGTGTCTGCCCCTCCGTGTCTGATCCTTCTTTTTCTAATCCTTCTTTTACGTCCTTTGTTTCTCATTGCCCTTTAGATACTTTTCAAACAAAAAAGTGGTTTTCTTTTATTCGGCACTCTCTTGGCTCTTCCAATATCCTTTTAAAGTTACATCCTGCACTTTATTTACTCTTTAGGATCTCTGCCGTATTTATGCCTCAGTATCTGCCATAAGTTTCTCTATTTCTCTTATTTCTAATTTTTAATTTCCTTGATGTCCAGGGTTCTCTGGTGTTGCTCCCAACCTTTTACCTTCATGGAAACATATTTACCGTGTAGTCTCATTATTTCCTCCTTAAGTACCTCTCCCCACTATGACACAGTTTTATCTTCAAATATAGAGATAGTAGGAACTGCCGATGCTGGAGAATCTGAGATAACAAGGTGTAGAGCTGGATGAACACAGCAGGCCAAGCAGCATCAGAGGAGCAAGAAAGCGGACGTTTCGAGTCTGGACCCTTCTTCAGAAAATGAAAATGCTTGGCCTGCTGTGTTCATCCAGCTCTACACCTTGTTATCTCTTTATCTTCAAGTAGCTGCTCTTGAGCCAAATTGCATCCTATTTTAGTAAAATTAGCCTTCTGGAGTTTAGAACTTTCATTCTTGCCTGTCACATTCTTTTTCATAAGTATCTTCAATATAATTGAGTGATGGTCATCACCTACAAAGTGCTCTACACCTTTCAACTAACCAAGCTCTTTTTATGACTATTCAAGGCCATATCCTAAAGTCCTCTTTTTGCTGGGCTTTCTACACAACAGCTAAAAAATTTATATTGCTGGAAAAGCTCAGCGGGTCTGGCAGCATCTGTGGAGAGAAATCAGTTTCAGGTTGAGTGACCTTTCCTCTGAACCAAGGAAGGGTCACTTGATCCGAAAAGATAACTTTGATTTCTTTCCAGAGATGCTGCCAGACCTGCTGAACTTTTCCAGCAATTTCTGTTTTTGTTTCTGATTTGTAGCAAACATAGTTCATTCTGTTTTTAATTTGGCTAAAATTTTAATCCTGGCTTCAAGTTAATTATTTTTCTCCCTCCCTCCTTGCACACTAAAACCATCCCAGTTAATACTTATGTTGTTAAATTCCTTCAGAGATAGTAGGAACTGCAGATGCTGGTGAATCCGAGACAACAAGGTG